CCCGGGACTGAGAAAAAGCCAAAAACACAAAGAAAAAAAAATGCGGAGCTGAAGGGATCACTGTGAAGCCCAGTGATGCAAGGGGCTTAATTTACAATGCGAAACCTTCCCAATCCCTATATAATTCCATAAAAATCCTGCCTATTCCTCCTTGGTCAGGATTGGTACGAAAGAACGGAAGAGGTGGATTGTTGCTACCAGACAACATGGAGACTCAATCGCACTCAAGGCACATATATTATGTTCAGTGCTGTAACCTGCCCTGGTGTTTTCACACAGTTCCCGCCCAGTCTTTTCGAGCCGAATGCAGTCTAGGGGGATTATGTGATCTAAGGTGGACCCCACGACAACCAATCTTTTGTTCCAAGTGAACAATGAGCCAGGGTATTGAATGCAATCTCGGTCCAAAGCCTTGGGCTCTGCCCAGCGATCAACAAGCTTCTTGTGAACATGCTCGGGGAGGCCAGTCTGATATGGAGTATATAGAACGATGTAGCAATCTTATAACTACAGGAAGACTCCCTACGACTTGCCCCTCTGCAAGGCCATGTGCGACGGGACTGTGGCCTCACATCGCCACATAATCAACTTTCTGCATATGGTGCCAGTGAGATTGAATGATACCCGACTGCTGCAGTCCGAATCACAGTGGGTTTGGAAATTGCCCATTCATCGGGGTTGTGCTAGCAATATCCGAGGCGGCGGAGCCGGAAGCCGCAGCACTTGGCGCAGCAAGATTTGCAGCCCAAGCTCATTGATGAATATATTCATGAATATACTAGTTACAGTCCTCCTAGGTTCCCCGCCCCGCGCGATCCCCGACCCCTTCACCGAGCGACCATCACCAACTACTGCAAGGGACAGCCAGCTGCAGAAGAAGCGCGAGTGGCTCAGTCGAGTTTCTGCTATAATGTTCTCCTGCAAAACACCCCGAAACAGGCTGTGCCATCGACCCCTTCGAAGGAATCTTCGAAGCATGGCTGCAGCCAATACTCTAATTTATAAGTGCTTCTTAGCCCCGTTTGACCTGTCGACCACATGTGCGGCAAGGATCACATCTTCCAGACGAGGCGCCCCGCAGATGAACAGCACTTCTCTCGATCATGCTCCCGATCAGCTGCTGCATCTACCTGACCCCAGGAGGAAAGAATCAATCAATTCAAGATTGGCAAGGACTGTTTCCACTTCAGTGTCTCTTTGTGGAATGGGACTTATAATAGCGAGCTATTGTACTGCAGGACGATGGTCGGATACCATGCGTAATCTCCCTATGTCGCTCCTCCGCCCTCAAACCGGACCCCTTAAGGCAAAGTAATGCTGTGTGTTGACAGAGAATCGAGAAGAGTCCATGGGCCTTTGGGATCCCGAACCTGCCCAGGCACATGTAACGTACTATTTGCTTAAGACCCCCAATAATAAGTTAAAAAAACATAATATTCCTTATATAATATAGAGGGCTAATATAGGGATTATTATTTTTTTTTATTGTTTTGGGGGTTTCTTAAGCAACAACAATGGTAGGTAATTTAATTATCTGTTCAACATTATAGGTTATCTGGGTGCACGTGACAGGCCAAAGGAAACTCCGCCGTGCTGCACGTCAGCTCATGAGGATGAATGTTTATGAAATCAGGGGAACCTCTAATAAAGAAGGGCAGGGCCCAAAAGAAAGCGAAAGCAAAAGGAAGTCAAAAAAAAAAAAAAAAAGCACAGGCTACATCAAAGGATAAACAAAGGCTTTGGTGAGAAACGAGAGGCAGTTCCCGCGGAAGGATGAACGATGCCTAGATGATGTTCTGCCTGAGGCCTTGAACTTGAGGCATGAGGAAGAGGAGGACAAGCAGGCCATTCGTGAGGCGAAGACGGCAACACCCAAGCCAAAAGCCAAAAGCAAAAAAAAAAAAAAAAAAAAAAAAAAACAACAAAGGAAGGACCAAGAGCAACAGGATCCAGCCAGGGCCCAAAGCTGCAGCAAGAACAGGAGAGAAGCCCGAAGGAAAATGCAACGAGAAGAAGAGCATGATCTTACTTCCAAAGAACACACGGATCAGAAAGCATGATCATTATTCCAAGACAATGCGGTAAGAAGAAAAAGGATCATGGGCCAAAGGACGATGCGAAGCAAGAAGAGAGGGTACCATGGGTCGCAGAACAATGAATCACGCAGAAAAGTGAAGCACCAGGTCAATGCTCATCCCCACGGTGTTAGCTCAATCTGCTGTTTTGAATTAGTGTGACGATGATTTGGGTGGGAGCCGTGTGTGACATGATTTGTAAAATTCTATTATATAATAAATATAGTAACCCTACAATACATTATATTGGTGTTGCAGCCATGCCTGATCAGGATTATCTAATGTGGTGGCCTGAAGACACCGCTTTGTCTTGCTTCATGAGCTTCCAGAGGCACCATGAAGATGATGAGGAATGGGGGCAGGCGCAGGCAACAGCCCCAGAAGAAAAACAACAAGTTGCCAGGGGAAAGAGCGTAAATAGACGAAGGCCCAAGGGCCATCTAAGGATGTGAAAGTAGTCAGGATCAGGATTGGATGTGGCCTGAATCAGGCTGGGGAATCATGACAATGGAAAGTTGGAGCGAGTAGATCTTACGAGTTGGGTGCAACATTTCACTAATTATTAATAATAATACATATATTCTTTGATCGCTACATGAATGGTGGGCATTCCTTCGAGAATCACACCTCATGTAGCATCAAGAATATTCTGTATTATTCCGGCATGCAACTGAGGAGCCCTCTCCGCCTCGAACCACGCTGCCACGTGTTTCATCCAGCCCCCCGGCTGGACCTCCCACGCCTTTCAAGCCGAAACTCAAGCCGAATGAAGTAAACGACATGCAGAAAACCCAATGCCTATGTCAAGGAAAAGATCGAGCGGGCCTGACGATACCGTATTAGTTCTCGAGTCGTGCAATCCATTATAGTCTGAGACTGCGTGTGCAGCTAAGAACGGCGAGGTGCTCGAAAACTGCTTCAGAAAGGCTGCCGAGCAGGACAAGAACCTACTGATGCCTGGCGCGGCAATCACTTGCGAATGCACCCCCCAGGCCTCCAAACGTGTGTTGTGTTCATGCTGTACATGGAACCCCTTGAACTTGAAGAGCTAAGGTCATGGGACATAGGGCCCAGCGCCCACAAAGAAGGACCCAGAGGCCCAATGCAGTGACGATCGAAGTTGCTGCTGCCGGCTATGAAAAAAAATATGGCTTGTAACTGAGTGTGAGATCATTGCCACATATCTCCACTTTCGATCATGGGCTTGTGCTTTTCCGACAGGCTTGGGGTACTTCTACATTTTCTTCCGCTTGATGAGACAGCACGGACGAAGTTGTTCAACAGTTAATGAGCCTTTCTTTCTCGATCAGGCCGACTATTCTGCACCCTATAGCTTGTTTCCTTTTCTCGTTGCATGCAAATGATGATTTAATATATTTATATATATATTATCTAAATTTGCATGCAACGAGTTAAGGAACATTAAACTAAAATTGAGAAGTTATTCTAAAGTCTTTCGCTGCTGTGCATTTGTGTATGTGTGCCGCTAGGAAACCCAAGGTCACGAGAAGAAGCCGGCCGGGTGTGAACACCGCTGGAAAGCACGGGGATTTGACCATCTTCAGAAGAAGTGTTTCTGCTACAATCATGATCCATCCACACTGTATGAATTGTAATTAGTTGACAGTAAGCTTTAATGACGGTACCCATCACATTACAACTTGTGTTCCGGAGGTTTCGTGTTTGCAAAGAAGCTTGCGGGCTGGATACCCCCTCCTGGCCTTTGCGTGGCCATTGAGTTGCAGGCCCTCAGCTGCACGCCAGCAGCCGCGCAAGAATATGAAGAAAAAAGGGCCGGCAGCTGCCGCCAGGTAGAGCCTTGGATGAGCTGTGATTCTTGGGTGGCATGGCAAACAGAGATCATTGAGGGTGCAGTGCACCGGATAAATTGGCCAGCACAATCGACGCCTGCATGCATTGCATATGCAATGCGGAATGCTACTGCCCCTCCTCCGTGCAGGATCAGCCTCTGCAGTCCCAGCTCTGCGTTTGTTCTTTATCATACACATGAACAAAAGTCCGTTGCACACCGTACACAGATTTGTTACGCAGCACTTGTGCCAGGAACAACACACGAGCGGGTTACAATAATTGCGATCAAGGCCCCGACGGCCCACAGAGCCCAGCATCGTAAGTCACGCGTTTGGCATCAATGGTACCGTGGCATAAAGCGCCCTTTTTCACTATCTGACAGCAGCTGCTGCCCTGTTTGGTGCTCCTCGGTTGCACACAAGGCTTGTCCACCTGGCTCCTCATTATCAAATACACTGTGCACAACATGTGCACATGTTTGTTTTGCACACATTGCAGTTCCCCTCAGATACATGTGTGCGCCTATGTGGCTCAGCAGTTCGCCTCCAAATGAGTGCACGGGCAACCTATCTAAGCACAAGTCTGTGGATTTAGCTTATATATGCTTAATCCACCAACTATGTACACCAGACCACCGATCAGGGATATGATGCCAAATATGAAACAGGTTGCTGGCAGCAGAGCCATGCAGAAACGCGAATATTGTACCACCTGGGGTCTTAAGTTCTACCTTTTCCGTATGTTGAGGACTTCCAACTGGTTGACTAGAGTTTGCATCCTGAGGTCGGTGGTTCTTCGAAGTCATTCTGGCTAAGCACCCACATATGATATCAGTGCCGATAGGTCCCAGATGAAACCTCGATGAATCATGATTGCTTGCGAGTCTTGTGACAAGCTAAGTGACTATCTGGAAATCAATGACCGCCCCCTTTCGGATGATCTGTGCACCACGCCACTCTTCTGCAGCTGGCCATCATCCCCATAACTTACCCTATAGATCTCTGGGGCTCTACAATATAATGGGTAATTCCAATTAATATCTAGATCCAATTTTCAATTATAAGCCCCATTCCGAGGATCGGCTTCATATCTGCGATTCGTGGGGTGTTGAAAATGAAAGAGCTGGCCCTGGCAACGATTGGGATCCCGTGTGGTTCCTTTGTATGGATGAACTCGGCAACGGCAGCCCGGTCAAGCGAGAATCCCTTTGGCAGGGAAGACTTTCGATATGTGGCAGCGGCCAACAAGCATCTAGGATGAACTTGTCGAGTGGCATGCATATCTAGATACATGGACAAGCTTAGATGTGAGCAAACACATGTGGAGCTGGACTCAGGATCGCTGCTCGTGTGTGTCTCCTCACACTATTGATGACTGCAAGAAAGGTGCTCTTTCTAATAGAGCAACCTTCCTCGTCGAAGCTGGAGCTATTGCCATATGTCGCGCATATCTTCCGGACTATTTCTACAGTCCTACCTGTGCACAGAACATTTTTGTGGGGCCCTCAGAATTTCATGCACCCCTGAAACAAAGCTAACGGTGCAAATATATGCATGTGTATGCACGTATCTAAGTTGGATGGGCAACTATGGCCACTTCAGCTGCAAAGCAAGCCTTGCCTATGGAACCCTGCGTCTCGGCAGCATGTTTCTGAGATTTCAGCCAATGAAGTTAGTCTTGGTTACTTGTGATATTTGACTGCATGCTGGATGGCTGTACTTCTCAGGGGCTTCATCCCTAAATTGGCCAAGAAGCTGACAAAGAAGCGCCGATTCCGTCTTGGCCTTTCCTCGAAAGGGGTGGTTCGTCGGGGTCGCGACACACATGGCCGTGAAACTGTGCAGCTTACTTGCAATGGAGAATATACACTCTATATATCTTCTAGCATAGGTGTTTGCACTAACGCATGTGTGCTATGCATCCCAAGGACAGGAGATGCAAAGCTGAAGCACACCCAAGCATACCCAAAGAAATTCTGCAGAAAGATTCTGAAGCTTCACTTGAAGTATGTCGAAGCTTGGCCATGATCGAATGGTGTCGGGATTCTTTGTCAAGCGGTCTGATCTGCTGTCCATGAATCGAACAGATGGCTGGTTCTGTTGATTGTAGGCTCCGGGGTTTGGTGTTGTATGCCAATGGAACCTACGTTCCCTATATGTAGTGATACGGTTTCGGGTTTTAGGGGTGATAGGATTTGGAATTTTGACGGTGATGGGGTTTGCTGTTTCAAGGGTGAGAAGTTTCTGATTCAAAGGGGGTTTCGGAACAGCACCACCACCACCACCACCACCACCACCACCGCCGCCACCACCACCACCACCACCACCACCACCAGCACCACCACCACCGCCACCACCACCACCACCACCACCACCACCACCACCACCGGATTGCATTCTACTATGTGGTCTATACCTATTACAACCACTACTACTACTACTACTACTACTACTACTACTACTACTACTACTACTACTACTACTACTACTTGTATTACTACTACAAGCAAGGTGGCCAGGCAGGCGAGACCGTCGCAGGGTGAAGCATCATCTTCGTCGTCGTCATATGTTGTGGCTGTGCAATCTGATGTGAAGATAAGACGATGATGATTTTGTCAATGCCACAAAAGTCATCAGCAAACCGAGATGGGAGAACAAACTCTTGGACGCCCGACAAGCCTGGCATTGGTTGAGCGATCTGACTGGGTGATGGACGAATATGTCAGATTGCGAGATTGCGCATGCATGCATAATTCCGGCTTGCTGCTAGGACTGCGACTACTACTTCACTACTACTACTACTACTACTACTGCTGCTGCTGCTGCTGCTACTACTACTATTACTACTATACTACTACTTTCTTGCTGCTGCTCCTGCTGCTAATGCCATTATTAACTAATGCACTGTGATACCGGTTGCAAAGCACGCGAGATTCCAGTTGTGATTCGACACGAATCATTGCAATAGTCGTATGCTGGCTTCCTCTGTGTTTGCGACACACGCTCATAACCATGTGATGCCGTCATGGGTTAAACTTGCACGCGGTGACCGCTGTTGGCATGTATGGGTGAGAGAGGGTGAGAGAGGGTCAAGAGAGAGAGAGAGAGAGAGAGAGAGAGAGAGAGAGAGAGAGAGAGAGAGAGAGAGAGAGAGAGAGAGAGAGAGAGAGAGAGAGAGAGAGAGAGAGAGAGAGAGAGAGAGAGAGAGAGAGAGAGAGAGAGAGAGAGAGAGAGAGAGAGAGAGAGAGAGAGAGAGAGAGAGAGAGAGAGAGAGAGTGAGAGAGAGAGTGAGAGAGAGAGAGAGGGAGAGAGCACGAGAAGGAGCAGTAGAGACGGTGGGTGGCCGGGTATATATGCTATGGATAAACACCGGATGCCTGTATTACCCTGACAATAATTTATCCACCCATTATAATAATAAACTATACCCTTATTATCATAGTAACCTCAACCCCATTATCAACTACCGCCCTACAGCCTTATAAGTCCTTAAGCCATTGGTGCTGACCATTTGCATTCGGCAGGAAAACCCCCAATAGGTTGCCCCAGCCTGGAAATTTAAACTATAGGACGACCCTTCTACCAGAAGCTGTTGTGCGACTGATAATAAGGAACGACATGGCAAAAAGATCGAGGAAAAGTTGGCCCGTGGCCGCAGATCTCTGGCCGAGCGAACCAGGGTGCCAGGGTTGTGTGGGGTTTACAAGATTTCGGACAGGGTTGATTAAAGCTCCCAGTGCTAGGCCATCTTATTACAGGCTATGCGAATATTGCTCCATGCATCTGGTCGCAGGTGTGCCAGCCGCTCGGGTGGCAGCATGCAGAGCTGGACGAAGTGATGGAATTCCTGAAGATGGAGTGTGAAGCTGGCCGCTACAAGCCACTCTTGTCTTTCTAGCCATGATGAGGTTTCTGAGGTTGCAAATTCAGGTGCTGTGTTTTGACACATGTGTCAGCTGAGTCTAAATTAAGTTGCAAAGAGAGTTTGCTTGCTAGGGAGACAAATGATGCTTGGAAGGGGATCCGGAGGAGTCGCATGGGCTCGGGGTGCTTCCTTCTCCATGGAACCCAGATCTAGAGTATCGCTACAGGTTAATGGTTTTAAAGGGTTTTGATAGTAAAATGATAGTTTCCAGCTACCCACCTCAAAGCGTGACTTTAGCGTGACTCTAGCGTGACTCTAGCGTGACTCTACCGTGACTCTCTATAAAGCTAGGACATAGGGGCCGTGACTCCGGCGTGACTCCGGCGTGACTCTGGCGTGACTCTGGCGTGACTCTGGCGTGCTGTTCATGGGGTCGTGGGGTCACTCGGGCTGTGGCTTAGTTTTGCAGGTTTCTCGGGTTTGGGAATCGGCTGGTGAAGCTTCATGCTGCATGCAGGCAGACTTTCTGCTGCAGGATTTTGCTCGCAGCTGGAACCCACTTGTGTGAATCACATGCTCATATCTTTGACCTCTGCGCATACATACACATAAGACTTCTGCCTCTAACCAAACATGCCTGTGACATCCGATGTCGAGCGGGCTTTGGCAGCAGCTCGTGAGTTGAAAGCCAAAGCATTTAAAGGTGCACCATGTCTTGTACTTGTGTGCATGAGATTGACCCCATACACACATACCCACATGCTGAAGCAGTTCTAAAATGTGCCAGGCACCGAGTTCGAGGAAGCTGCCACACAGAAAAGGCAGGAGGTTGCTGAAGCTCCACCTGCCAAGCAGGTAAAGGCAGAGAAGCGACCAGGAACACCAAAGCGGCCCTGTAAGCAGGAGTTGCGAAGCCCAGCAGTGCCTTCAAAGAACCCTGGTGTTAGCTCACCTATGCAGCCTGAAGCCACCCCTGCCAAATCGAAGAAGAAGAAGGACCCTCTGTGCATGATAATATACATTATATGTGTGTGTGTGTGTGTGTTCATACCGAATATTCCTGATAGAGTTAATTACATATTATATACATAATATAATATATGGTCATGAAAAGATAGTCATGGGTCCATGTATGATCACACACACACACACATATTAAGCTTGTTCATGTACATGTATAATTAATCGTTGTTGGGCCGCTTGTAACATGGCCTGCACCTGTAGAATTGTAGTGGCTCTAATTATAATCGTAGATCCTGACACCATTTGTGTTGAGCTAGGCAACTCGTAAAGAGGTAGCCTGATGCAATATATTGCCAGGACAAAGGTACGCCAGAGACTTGCAGCATGAGGAAGGCCACGAGTGCAGAAGGCGCTGGGGGAGATGACCAAAGCCCAAGCAAAGCTGCTGCAAGCCCCAAGGCAGGAGATGATCAGAACAGCAAGAGCCCAGGAAAAGCCGCCGTGAGCCCAACAGGAGATGTCCCAAGCAAGAGCCCAGGAAAAGCCACCGTGAGCCCAGCAGGAGATGTCGCAAGCAAGAGCCCAGGAAAAGCCGCAGGAGATGTCCCAAGCAAGAGCCCAGGAAAACCGGCCGTGAGCCCAGCAGGAGATGTCCCAAGCAAGAGCCCAGGAAAAGCCACAGCGAGCCCAGGAGGAGATGTCCCGAGCAAGAGCCCAGGAAAAGCCACAGCGAGCCCAGCAGGAGATGTCCCAAGCAAGAGCCCAGGAAAAGCCACAGCGAGCCCAGGAGGAGATGTCCCAAGCAAGAGCCCAGGAAAAGCCACCGTGAGCCCAGCAGGAGATGTCCCAAGCAAGAGCCCAGGAAAAGCCACAGCGAGCCCAGGAGGAGATGTCCCAAGCAAGAGCCCAGGTACAACGAGCCCAACAGGAGATGTCCCGAGTAAGAGCCCAGGAAAAGCCGCCTTGAGCCCAGCAGGAGATGTCATTTGCAAGAGCCCAGGAAAAGCCACCGAAAGCCTCCCAGGAATTTTGAAAAGAAAGAGCAGCCCAGGAAAAGCCACCCCGTTGCGAGATGCTAAAGACAAGACAAGCCCAGGTTCTGGAGGCCATGGAATTTAGCGCTGAAGAATTCAATCCACATGGTTGCAAATCTGCTAGGATCTGCAAAGAGACGACGCCCACGCTCATGCTCTCCCAAGGCTTGCTTACTTGCATGTTCCCATAAAAATTCTGAAAACCATCTAGTGCTGAACAGGCTGCAAGTCCAGCGTCCCACGACTCACGAGCAGCTTGCCTTGGCTAGTAATCGTAATAGTGGAATGAATTACATAATTATATAGTTGCTACTCAGGATCTTCGAAGCAATCGTTTCTATGGATGGGTACATGGCTTTTGAGTTCCTTCTCCTATGTAGGGGGCTCTGCAATTGCTTGCAAGTTCTGGGCTCCAGGTCTAGGGATTAATTTTATGAGGGTTTTATAATATGTTCCGGGATTATACGACTAAGATCGACTAAGTGGGGCTTTGGGGTTTTAGTGGCCTTTTGTAATAACAAGGGCTCCATGGCTTTTGCTTTAATGAAGGGTCCAGGATTATGCTCTAGGTTCAGGGGATTATTAACATATCTGCTTTTATGAGCTCTGGGTGCCCTTTACAAACAAGGCCTTGAGGCTCTAGGTTCGAGGGACTAACATATAATGCTTATATATGGGGCTCTGGGACGGTCGTTACAAGCGAAGCCTTGAGGCTCTATTTAAGTTCGCGGGGTTTGTTAGGGGCTCTGGGGTGGTCTTTACAAGCAAGGCTGCATATTATTATATGTGCATATATGAGGATATATTTATGGGCTTTACTAATATGGTGGTCCAGGCTTCATCTATGCATATTAGTGGTGTCAAGGGCTCGGAGGGCTAGGGCTTTATACCACAAATCACGAAGCCCTCACATGGCCTTGGAGTGGCAAAGCCAGAAGTGTCTTATGATCTCCAAAACCTATAATCAACCCCTAGAATGCAGATAGCTTTAGCTAATGTAGAATCGAATGGTCCTGTGACATGATATATATATATATAAATAAATATATATATATATATATATATATATATCATGTCACAGGACCATTCGATTCGAAACCTACCCTGCCACCACCTATCGGCCTAAACTACCTAGCTATATTCTGCTAGAAACCAGACTTAGAGTTATCTACCGCCCATTTACAATTTACTCTTGACTCAAACCCCATCCCCCCTAAACCCTACTATAAACCCTGCCCTACCCAAACATACCCTATCAAGCCCAGCCCCATTCCAGGGATGGTCCGCCGCATCGTGGCAGCGGGCGCAGTCCTGGGCTAGCAGCGGCTCCCATGACTCTTATGATGACTGGTGGGCAAAGGATAGTTGGGACTCCTGGTCTTGGTGGGGTGCTGGCTCTTGGTCTCAGGGCCAGTGGGACAGCTGGGGGCACGATGATAAGAATGCAGCTGAGCAGGAGAACCCCATGCAAAGGGTGCAGGGGCTCTTAAGGCGTGGGCACACAATAGATCAACTTTCGGAACAAGACCTACAACTGGTAGTCCAGAGTATCGATAAGGCCAAGGCTCGCCAGAAGGTTGAAGATGCAGCTGGCACCACAGAAGGATCACCTGAAGCGGAAGGTTCCAAGACGAAAGAAGCGGAAGCTGCCAACAAGGATGCTAAAGCAGAGGAAGGGGAAAAGCCTGCTCAGGAGGGAGAGCAGAAAGAGTCAAAGGAAGCACGCAAAAAACGATTGCATGCCCGCAACATGCGGTACTATCGATCGCTGGAGAGTGGCTTGGATGTAATAACCTCATACCATGAAGTGGTCATGGAGCATCATGCATTATGTAATAAAGTATTTCACAAACTATATATACTTGTGTCGCCGAGGCCCTTTCACACCCAAAGAAATCAAGAAGATGGCCGAGGACGCCGACAGCACGGAGAAGTCCGTGCTGTTTGAAAGCTGGCTTCAATCAGGTGAAAACTGGGCGAAGTCGACTTTGCTTGTGAGACTTCGCAACAGAAACTCCAACACGAAGAGAGGGCTGAGAAAATGGCTCTTTCGCACGGATATGGTCACGAAGTTCGGTGAACAAGTGACGCAAATGATGATCGACGCAAAGCTCGCGGACGCCGATAGGCTGAAAAAGGAGGTGCGGTACCACCCCGATTGTCCGAAGGAGAAGGAGGACCCCTACAGTCTGCAACACATGCCACGTGTGCCCTGTGTTCAATAATTGCCATGCATGTTTGTCTGCAACCGTGTCTGCTGCAGGAGTCAAAGCAATACCTCTGCTTATGTGAAAGCACAGAGGAAGACTTGGAGGCCGAAGAATTGGAGCGGCTGTTCGAGGGCCGTCAGGAGGACTCTTCCACGTCATCGACGAGCAGCCACCATGACAAGAAGAAGAAGAAGAAAAAGAAGAACAAAAAAGCAAAGAAAGAAAAAAAGCAGTCCAAGACTCCCAAGAAGCCTAAAGCGAAGGCCAAAGCGAAAGGAAAAGGAAAGGGTGCTGAGAAGGTCGGGGGAAGGGGTGATGTGGGTTTCTGGGGTTGAAAGCTATTTAAAGGTATTTTCCTATCGAAATAGATAAGTTGGGTTATTTATATCCATATGTGCATATATGATAGTTTCCTTCAAGAAACTAATCATAAGTACCCATATATGCTACTGCTAGCCCAACAAGATCCACAACCCCAAAAGCCATGAAACTAAACAAGAAACCAACCTCCCGTTTCTTTACAGGCTGTATTGTTCATAGCATCTGTCGTTGCAGCCCCACATGTTCAGCGAGCCTGTCCCCTGACATGTCAAACCTCAAAAGGTAGTATATCTAGTCAATGCCTTATTATTATAAAACCCAACACGAACCACCAACCCAAACTGGTGTGAAATATTCCCACCAATTACTTGATGAATCCCCATACTGCTATAATACCGTTATCTTTTGGCCCGTAAACCTGTAATGGTATAATTAATTAACCCAATGCCCTCAATCCCTAAACCGTGGCCCTTGACCAGGCTCTCACCGAGGAAGAGCAAGCGCAGGAGCAGGAGAAGGTTGCAAAACGAGGTCTTGCAAAGAAGGCCACCGGCTATATATATTCTATATGTGAAGGACCATGACCTTGTATCCTGTGTGTGTGTGTGTTGCAGGCTTTGGCTAAAGCTACGGACAAGGTGAAGCTAGCTTCGAAGGTTCGGCAGGAGGGCGCAGGAAAGGCGAGTGCTGGAATGTCAGAACCTTATTGTTAGTATTGCACGGGTGAAATACTGATATTCGTCGAAGTGATGATCTGGTCATGATCCCAGGGGCGACCACCTGCTGAATGCCTTGGTCAATGATGTTGAGGCGCAGGCCATCGTTCTTATATGCAAAGACCCTCTTCATCCCACACACACACACATAATCCCCTATATGCCATCATGCTGCGGCAGTCGGCGAAGATCCAGTCTGCCCGTGCAGAGCTTCAAGCAGCTGTGGACAACGATGAGGCGATGCTGCAGCCTTAGGTCAATTATGATTTAGAAGCTGCCCCCACCCTGTAATAGTGGTATAATAGGAATATAATAGGGCCCTAATATAATCCTATATAAATATATACCAAACTTACTTTTACATAATCCTGAACCAGCAGATCTGAGGAACCCTCGCTGTAAGACACACCCTCCCTAGATCGGTGTGTAATTATACCCCTGCATGCCAGTCAGAAAGCCCAAGGGGTCCGAACAAAACAGGGATGCATCTCAAGGAAGGTTATTGTAGGTATATAGTATGTAATTCAGGCTTTGTAACTGTTACTGTGCATTCTTGCACTGGTTTGATCTTGGGAAGATAGCCTTGTAAAATATAACCATCCATTTCGCTGGGTCGGTAAAATGGAATGGCCCCAGGCTTTGTTAATTACCTCCGGCCTCTAATAAGTGCTGTGGGGTTCGAGGCTTATAAGCACCCTATTCTATATAAAAAAAAAGCAAACCATAAACCACCAGTTGAACCCAAACACACCCTAGAAACACTAGCTCAAGTACTGCGAACCCAAATTTAAATCCCTAATTATTATATATTATGCCTGATATAGATTTAACATAGGCATCCTAACACAATCCACACACAATAATGCTTGTCCCTGCAAGGTTGGAAGCTTCGCCGACCTCATCACTGTGTTGCAGGAAACCTGTGACAAGTTCGACACCATCCACAAGGACTTTCACAATCGCTCAAACCCCAAAGGTGGTTCCAAGAAGGCAAAGAAGTGATCATGATCGTATCGGGTGGTGCCAGCTTCAGTGCACAATGACCATATGTGTTACGATGTGCCATGCAGCTGGGCTGCTGCTGCTACCATGTATATACCAGATGCGATGATTTTGGCTTTCGTCAGGGTTAACCTTGATGATGTGTGCCACTGCACTTGCCTGCAACAGCCTGGCTCCCAGTTTAGGTGTAAACCGTCATATGACCTGTGGTTTTAGCTATCCTTATATAATTGAATTCACCTTAAATAAACTTCAATAAGATCTCAGTCACTGAAGCAATCCCTCCTTCAAAGAGCCGATTCTGGGAGTTGGGGGCATTGTCTGGCTTCTGCAGCTGTGTTGCTGGGATGACACACCTGGGCTGGCGCAGTGCTTTAGCCACATCCTACGTAACAAGAAACACACCAGCTATCATGCCAGCAGGTGTGTCAAGGGGTAGACACGGCGAAGAAGCTTTAAGGCATTAGGCCGTGTTGGGTGCAACGTGTTTTCATGTTCCTGGCCGATGGCCTCAGTATCGCTAGTGTTCACCATGCCCTTTGTGAAGAAACATATTGACAGGAATCTGCATGCATCCTGTGATCCAAGCTGCCAGCATGTCGTTCTACAAGCTGTGATTTTATCTGTAGTGCCAGGTTCAGAACATGATGGAGACAATGCCGATGGGCTTCTGCAAAACATGTTGGATCGAGTATCCAGTGGTGACACTTGGCTTTCATCAGGATTGTAATGCAAGCCATGCTGCCAGATATAACCCTTGTGGCCGAAGAAGCACCACCATCCAATCCTGAGCTGAAGAAACATGAACCTGATCTCAGGCTTCTTCTGTTGGGGGTGCTATGGAGAATGCGCGAGCAAGCTATCAGGTGCCTGGGGAACATGATATCCGAACAAATCATGACTTGTCCCTTTACTACGATTCAGTTGCGAGGAGGCTGGCCGAAAGTTCAAGGGGAAGATTATGTCTGGGCTTATGAGCTATAGCTCCGGCAATCGAAACTGTGCAAGAAATTTCTTCAAGCACGTCCAGCTGCCACTTGCTCCCAGGCCTTTGTTATTTGAGAGTGGATGTTGCACTTTCTATGGGGGCTGCCCTCTGGTGCCTAAGCTGTGCAGTGCGAACTAGCTTTAGTTTACCCGGTTCCCAGCCATTGCCGAGGTACCGACAGATGTGGTTGTACCTATCTATGAAAAGGTCGATGGCACACTGAAGGAAGTTGAAACCACGGTGCCAGTTTTAGACGTGCATGAGCTTCTAGATTACCTGCACAGCAACCTGGACCTGGTTTGCCCACCAGGCAAAGCCAATGAATATTGGCAGCACATGAAACAATGTGGCAATCCGCATGCCCTGAATTTCCCTGGTGGAGATGACCACATTCCTTTCAGTCTCTACGGAGATGAATGCAGTTTGGGCGAGCCGAAAGATAAAGTGACTGGTATATATGTATCCCTGACACTATTCAAACCAAAGATGGCAAAGTACCGTGAATTCCTTATCTTTGCTATGCAAGACGCAGTGATGATACATGATGGCTTAAGGACCCTGGTGCCTGTGCTACGCCATATCGTGTGGAGCTGCAACGTGGCCTTCCAGGGAAAGTACCCTTCGTGCAATGCTGCTGGCGAGGAACTGCCACCATCCAAGCAGAAGCTTGCAGGACAGATCTTCGCAGGCGGCTGCAAGTACGCCTGTGCCGAACTCAAAGGCGATTGGAAGTGGCATGAACGTGTGCTAAGACTACAGCACACGCCTGTCAGCACAAAATGTTGCTTTCTGTGCAAGGCAGAGGCGCAGGATTCTTGTTCATTTCAGTATACATGTTTTTTTAAATTGTGGTATCGTCTACATTCATATCATGGGCTTTGCCAGCCACTTAGGATACCAACTTGCGGTATTATGATACAAGCCGTGGGGCCCCGTGGATCGCCTCTGAGTTTTCTACCCCTGGCTTCATAGCTACTGCAGTTCGTCCTGGCAACTTGAGAATTCCAGCTAAATTCATGAAGCCATGTATCCAGCTTATCCCATGTTTTCTTCATATATTCGGAAAGGCATATGCTATAGGTCTTTTTCTTGTAACCTGGGCTCGTCATCTGAGGCCCCCTTCTGCTACTCAGAGGTTTCGATATCTCAATGGTCAAGTTTTGCAGCATGCATGTCTGCAACCTGGGATTGGTTTTGACGGCCAATGGTGGGGCACTGACCTGTGACTGACACATATTGTTCAGGAGGTGGTTTTTACATTAGTATTCCAGGGTCGTATGATGGAGGCTTGGTAGTTTCGGTGCTAATGGCTTCATAGTCCAATGGTTTTGTTTTTATTGCAATTTCCCTTTGGGAACCTGGTGAACCCTCTAGTCTGAAATCCCTATAATCTAGCTAGTACCGTTATAACAATAAATCCTGTACTTGTCAATCCCATGCCTTAAGCCCTGAACCCGCAGCCAAGGGAAGCTCTCATATATGAAGGCCATTTCGGCAATCCTGATACAACCGAATTGAAGGATCTGCTACTCAAGGCTTATGCTGAATTTCGGGCATGGAGGCTACACCAGCGCATCCCATGCAGCCAGAAAACTTTTGAAGCTCGAAAGCTGTACAAGAAGGAACATGGGTACTACTTCAGTACGAAGGCTTACAATGCACGGGTGATCCTGCTCTGGTTAGCCAATCGTTGCCGGGATGCTTGCAGCACGGCCCCTGCTACTTCAAAGATTCACCTTCATGCAAAGGCTCTGTGACCCAGCTGAATAGCATCTGTGGATCATTTGTAAATCACCTATATAATTATAAGCTACCCTAATACCTTGATCGCAAATAGAACTCTAATAAGAACCGAATAATCGGACCCCAGGGCTGCATTTGCAGACTGGTTCGGCCTCTGCGAGCGTGCCGGCCGATATTTGTGCCGCCATAGCATTCTTCAGAAGCTTGTGTGTGTGTGTGTGTGTGTGTGTTTTAAGTCGGTTCATTATATTCTGGTTTCCTTCAGAAACCTTTTCCAACTAGGTCCCGTTGGGAACCTGATCTGGTCGGGTTAATTATGGTTTATCCTCGAATCAGAACACTTCTGTTAATAAGCCCTGAATATTCCCGGATAATTCTGAACCAAGTTTAATCACTGCCCAGGACACCTTCGCAGGCCGATGCTATTCGAGATGCTGGCACAACTTTTCTCGATTGCCACTTGAAGCTGACGCAGATATCGGCTCGGTTACTTGCACTACACCTATAATACACGGCATGCTATGCATGTTCCAGTACATCCCTAATTTACAATCACATGACGATGCTGAGGCTGGGAATTGTGGCTTGGATTCTGAAGCCAAAATTCCATGACCCTCGTCACAATAGCTGTGTTCTGCCATGTGGGATGTGCTTGAGAACCTGGGTGACTTACAAACATCTGAGGCTATGTTGCATCTTCTGCGACAGAGCCATTGCTGGAGCAGCTTGGCTTCAGCGTCTATATGGAACATTCCAGTACTCCAACCTGTAGCCATGCTTCTGTTTTAACTGATCAGGATACAACACGAGATATTCGCATAATTTCTCCGGTGAAGATGCTATGGGATGGCTAAAGCGCCCGGGTCCCCAGTGGATTTTCATTGTATTACAATATAAGGGAACAGTGTCGGCATCATGAGCAAGCTTGTCGAGACGACTGGCAGGCATATGCCTCAAGGCACCACGAAAGCCTGCTGCTATGGCGAGATGGGTTCTGCGGATGAGCCGAGTGAAGATGCTTTCAGCGAAGCGTCGGCTCACTCGGAAGCCCGGATAAACTGATTTGGAGCCACTTCAAAGCCGTTTCTTGTGGGATTCTTGCAACTTAGGAAGGTTCGTGACAAGGGTTGGAAGCGATGATGACTCGCTCCGATGCTTGTCTGCATATGATTTTCGGAGTTTCAGATATGTTTTTGCTCCGAAAGTAGTCCGACTATTGCATCATTTCAGCACCCAAGGAGACATCCTGAGCTGGAATGGAAGGATGATGCGAGCGATGATGGACGAAAAAAGCTAGATTCTGATGCTTTCAAGTGAGGGTTTGCACGAACCTTAAAAAAGACCCTTTGACGCAACCGCCCGGTTAAACCTGAAGGTTGTGAACCGCCTCGTTTCACCAGCCCTTTAGACGAGTAGGGTTAGGCTTGACCCTGGAAACCTACGTCAAAGAGGTGAAGCAAGGAAAACCCTGGGAGGTTACAGAAGGATGTCGCATCAGGCGAGGCCGGCAGAACCAGAAGGACGTTCTTGGAGAAGGCTCCGATGCAGCAGAGCCAGCTCAGGACAACGCAATCGGCTCATACCTGTAGTGGCCCAGAGTTTCGGGTGTGGGCCTTAAGGTCCTGGTGACCAGTGTCCCGAGCGCTGGCACAAAGGCCAGACACCAACTGACTAAGCGCAGCAAAGACCTTTCGTTCTCCACATCCGATGGGTTTTGGGGCTTCAGGGCATGAGGTTTTGGGGCTTATAAGGGCTGAGCTGCTAAGGGCTCCAAGTTTTGGGGATACTTTTATCAGTCGCTCAACTTCATTTTCACCTGCGCTCTGGAGTAGATCCGAAGAGTTCAAGTGGCCAGCAGCCTTTGCCGCCACATAAAACTCAACATGTGAGCTCACACAGCCCCGGGTGGGCCGGGTGGGCAGCTGAAAATCTTGCGGTTCAAAATCAGCATTCGCGACTATGGAATCAGTCGCTCAACTTCATTTTCACCTGCGCTCTGGAGTAGATCCGAAGAGTTCAAGTGGCCAGCAGCCTTTGCCGCCACATAAAACTCAACATGTGAGCTCACACAGCCCCGTACTTTCCCGTGTCTTCCAACTCTTCGCTCAAAGGTCGTTACCAAACAGTAGGAACCAGGACGTAGTCGGAACTTTAGCCTTGGACCATTGCTTGGCTTTCCGGAGGAGCTCGGGAAAAGCAGAGGCGCACTGAAGGACTCTTTGACGGACTTCTGGAGGTTGGTCTGAAAGAAAAGTCGCTGCTTCGACCTCCTGAAGGTAGATTTCCATGACCCGCGGGCTTAGCCAGCGGCCGCGTCTCCTGACTAAATCAGGATTGTCACTGCTCTGAAGAAGCCACGTGGCGCCGCCCGGCCGAAAGGAGCCGAGCTCGAGGCTCCTTGCTTCATTCTTATTAACTGGCAGCCCAAGAGTCTCGCAGACTTTCTTGAACCTGGTTCGCAGGGTCTGTCCAGAAAAAGGCCAAAGCCGAGCTCCTCGAGGCAGGTCAGAGAAGGAGAGAATAATAATTTCCAGAAGGTCTGACAAGTCTACCTTTGCTGCTTGGTGCTTTGCCGCTCTGCGGCGAGTCTTTGGCTCTTCAATCCTCAGGAGAGCAAAAGGTTGGCTGCCCAGTACGTCCTGTGGTAACACCAAGTGCCGTCGGAGCGAGAACAGAACTTCGCCCGGGCGACACAGGCCTCCCCACATAAGAGCAAAGAGGCCGGCCTCTTTTGTCCATCCCCAAATCAGGCAGACGCTCAGCATCGCAACCAGTACGATCCCCGGCAGCGCAAGGTGATGCACGTGAGGTTCGACCTCCAACCAGTTGAAAGCCAGGTCCCAAGCGGCAGTCAGTTGCCGTCTAAGGAGAGGTCTCGCAGCCGCTATTGCGTTGATCAGCTCAGAGTAGTGTCCATACGGCCGCCCTTCTCGAAAAAGCTTCTGCCCGAACTCGACGACTATACGGTTTACAGTCTCGGAGTCCAGGCCTGCTACACCAATGATCTTTTCGAGGGAGTACTCGCTTGATGCAGTAAGCCACCTGCCAAAGTCGTCCAGCCGTCGCTGTCGGTGGTCGCCAGTTCTGGGCAGGACAGCTCGCTGAGAGCTCAGTTGTGTGGTAGCTCGAGCGGCGGCCCTTTGGGCGTAGTTTTCGCCGGCAGGGGCGGCGGCGCATCCATGGCAGCAGAGACCTACAGCCCAGAACACCCTGAAGAAACCCAGCACAGAGGCGCGGCAGGCAGCAGAGCAGCAGGAGGCAGCGAAGACAAAGCAAGCAGAGACTAAGTCCAGATCTCCTCCATAGTAGGAGGGCGACGTATCTTCAGAAGTCCACTCAAAGTCCAAAGAGGCCCCGAACGAAGGAGGGCTAGAAGAAAAGGTAGGGCCGGTAGAAGGCAGGCCCAGAACAGGAGAACTGGAGGACAAAATGTCCGTAACACACACCTTTTGAAATCCATCTGCAGTCGGCCGGGAGATAGGCATACTTTTGCCTGGCAGGCAGAGCGTCAGGAGGCAGGCCAGACGCAGCCAGTTAGCAGCAAACCTTCTTACCCTAACGCGAGCAAGAAGCTCGTTGGTCTCGCGAGGGATGGCTCGGCCTACAGAGGTCCCGGAAGGGCTTCTAACTTCACAGTTTCTAGTGGGGTCGTCAGCTATGTTCAATCTGGTGGGAGCAAACCCCTCAGCATAGTATACGCCTTTCGCTAGGGCGAGCGCGCTGACCTGGCAGAGTACCCTACGCAGCTTGTGGCTGGAGGTCCTGCCCTTCGAGGCGGCAGCAAGAGCAACGGCCGAGTCGAAAAGGTGGAGGACGCGACGGTCAGTTTCGTCAGAGGGCAGCTCCTTGAGCAAAGTGACCAGTCCTCGTAATTCGAGCAAGTTGATGTGCTCAGCGAACTTCCACTTCCATACCTTTTCAAGCTGCCAGGTCCTCGAAATTAGGAGGTCATTGATAACAGGTGATTCAAGTCCCGAGACCTCAACATGATGAGCCCTCTCGGTCCTTCTGTCCCCAACGATCTGCCGGACAAAGACTGCAGCAACCTCCCTAGCAAAACGCTCGCTCTCCTTTCTAGGGTGCGCCTCTCTACCTGGAAAGAGGGAGCCCAGGCTGCTCACATCGATGTTGCTTGCAAGTAGGCGGTAGCAGCCTTTTGGGCCTCTTCGCTGAGCGGCAGATACAAGCGGGATCTCAACCGTGTCCTCGTGAGTCAGCGCTCTCTGCCA